TTTTTTTTTTTTTGTGGTTGTGCGTCTTTTTTTTGGGAAGAAGGAGAAGAAAACACAACAAAGCGCGGCGCCAGGATTGCACAGAGGAAGCGGCGATATGAAAGGCTGAACGGCATCAAAGCGGTTTCTGAGCAGGCAACAAAAGCTCCGCTGGAAAAAAAAACAGCCTGATGATGAGTCATATTAAGCCAGAGAGTTAAAGCAGTTAAGTCAGTTTAAAAAAAAAGAAAAAAAAAAAGAAAAGACCTGTCCGTGATCCTGCTTTTGTGCCTTGGAATTCCTCGCTACAAACTTTGCCGCTAAATGCCGAATCGGCATTATTTCCCAATCGATCCCCAGCAGTATACCTGCATGTTTCTTTGTTTTTTTGTTGTTTTTTTGAACCCCAGATGCAAAGCAAAAGAAAAAACTGGGATTCAGAGCCGTGTTTGTTGTGTGTTGTGTCTTCTCGAGGGAGTTGTGCTTAGCTTTGCTGCCACCATCTGGAGAGTTCAGCTCTTCTCAACCCTCTAATGAACCCCCAGAAATTTAACTTAACCAACCGTTTGAACCACAAATTTGAGTCCGTCTGATATAAGCCAGCAGCCGAATTTCAATAAACTTGATTTTTTCTCGGTTACCAAATTCTAAACTACAGTTTCTAGCTTGAATGTACTTTTTTTATGGTCATTGATGGCAGCTCGTTTGAATTGACTAACTTTGACTATTTTTTTACCTTCAGGAGCTCCGGGTTATCCCCTGTGCGCACAGATTTCATAAGAAGTGCGTCGACCCCTGGCTGCTGCAGCACCACACCTGTCCCCACTGCAGACACAACATCATCGGTGAGCTGCTGCCGCTTCTCTCACAAATCGTTTCTGGGATATGTTTATGTTTATGCATTTGGCAGACGCTTTTATCCAAAGCGACTTACAGAGTAGACACAATATTACATTTCTCATCACTATGACAATAAGCTATATAGAGGAGAAACACTGATCAGAGTCAGTGGTGAGATAGAGATAGAG